AAACAATAACAAACTGATGATTCACGAATCTTCCTGTGTTTACTATTATGATTTATGATATGATATGATGATGCTTCGGATTGATGACAATCAATGATGAATGATATGATATGATATGATTGACTCGTATGATATGTTGATAGATTGATATGATATGTTTACTTAAACTGAGACTATTTTGTCTTGTGCTTTCCCTCACTGTAATTTGGTCTGATGTGCAGTCCAATCACGCATACCACCGCGCTGTGTCAAGACACCGCAGCCATCTGTTTAGTGCAGGAATGCGTGGTTTTGAGGACAGTGCGATCTCAATGTAGAGGTTTGCCGCTAGCTCTGCAACTTTGTCTCTTCCGCATCCTCCACAAGCACAGTATACACTGCAGTGATGTGTTGGAACGGGGTTTCTCCAGTCCCCATTCCATATGGCAAGAAACAAGTCTAAGCGTTCCTTACGGCGTGCTTTTGCTTCTCGAGATTCATCTGAATCTTCCAGTTCACTGCTGCAACAACCCGCAATCTTTAAGATCGATTTGGCATATCTTCCATTGGCAGGATCTGGTGGGTCGTAGCTGATTTGCATTGATGTTTTGATGTGCCACATTGTTTGCAACATCAGGTCCAGAAAAGTGTGCCCATAGGAGATAACATTGGATACACAAAACCTTGGTTGATTGCCAATTCAGAACTTTATATTATATATTATTATATTGTATTAATAGACTTAAAATATACCTATTGACTGACATTTAATTACCCCTAGGCCCTAAGTCATTTTCCCTAAGTAAGGCCAGTGTTCTCTGGTCAGGCAAACTCAACAGTGTTGGCAAACAAGCAGGTTGCAAATCGTATCGTACCGCCATATCGCTGTATCGGCATAGGAATTGCAGGCACCGTGACAGATACAAACCTACAAAAAAAAGGCTCTCTTATTAAGCTAGGGGTCATTGCATTCAGGCCGCTTCCACGCCAAATGCTTTCAACGCAATGATTTGACTCATGCCTCCAGGTGAGCTTAGTGAAGACCACTGAACACCCAAGACATTTGGGTAAAAACAAAGCAGCCCCACTTGCCAAGGCACATGGTGCATGGGTGGTGTAAAAGCAGTGCGTTGTGCGGAAGGTGATCTACAAGCCACCGGGACATCTTGAAGTTTGCCCTCGCTGAATCAGAGATGAAAGACATAATGTAGATATCGAAGGATGATGCCCAGCCTGAAGGATAATCTGGCGAAGATTCCATCCAAACCCTGTGTGGCTACCCCACCCAATAGCAGCGCACAAAACCCCGCCGACCAAATCATATGTGCGTTGGACACTGCGAGTGGCTCTTTTGACTACATTGAACAATCAAAAGAGTAGAAGTGCTCTCACTATGAAGGGCTCTCACTATGAACGTGTCAACTCTTCATTCTTTCATTCGCAAAAGTAGTTGCGATGCAAGTGAGCAAAGCAAGATCTAGATCTAGACAAGTCTAAGTCTAACTCTAGTAGCTATATAATCCAGCGGTGAAGCCTGTTGCGCCTGTATTTGTGAAGATAGAGGAGCGTGCCGTCAGCACAAGGTTGCTGGACACAAGGACTAGTGATTGCGATGCCATGCTTGCCGCTTTCAACAGAAAACACGTTGCTTACGTGAATGCAAACGGTGTAGATATACTACTGTATATATTATATAGATTATAAAGTATATTTATATATATTCTATATTTATATGATCTAATGATGAACACAACTGAATGAACACAAAGCATTTGCAGCATCTGAGCAGCATGTGCTCAGAATGTGTCCTTGACAACTACTTGGACTCACAGAGGAACAGTAAACGACAAGACACGGAGCGGATGCACAATCTGTTTCGCACAAATTCCTTGCCAAATGCCAGTGCTGGTCGTTCGTCTCAAGGCAGCCGGGCTATGCGTGAAGAAAGCATACCTCCGCTGCAGTTCAGACAGTCAATTCAGTACTACTTAACCCAAGTATGCTGCTGTGTCGAGGTCTAAGGTCTGCCGTTGGTCAACTGTCAACTCAGAAATTGCTCGGTTTTGCTTATTTTTCAACCACAAGGAAATCATATGCGCAGCATATAGCTTGTGGTGACACAAGTGTATTAAACGTGTGATGTAACGTGTGATGTGACGTGTGATAGATCAATTAGAATATATTAGGTTAATTTGCATACAGTGTCATGATTCTATGATGGTGATTTTAAATATATATATAATATACAGCACAATACAGTGAACGACAGTATATAAGTATAAATCAATCTAAATCGTATCGAATCTGAGTCATATCATATCATCATGTTTTTGTAAATTGCAAGACATGGCAAAAACAGGTTCCTTGTCCAGTAAGAACTTGAATGCAAGTAGCCGAGCAGGTTCAGAAGGACCTTCCACACATAGAAACGTTGAACGCTGCACCTTAGCGTTCTGCCACTCATTAGCGTCTACAGTGCCCAGTGCTGCTGCTGTTGTTGTGCTTTACATGTGGCCAGGCCATTTGATAGAGACTGCAAGACTAGTCACAAGATGTCAAAGAAGAACGGCATGTCAGGCATGTCTCCTTTAATTCATTGACCATCCATTCGCGAGTTTAATACACAGATACAGTAAACAGTAAACAATATTACTTCACATAAAATATCATAAATTGACTCGTGAAAATGCAAACACATGGTTTTTTTCTCAGTTTGAGCTCAGCTGACTGCAGTTGAGGTTCCAGGACACTAAACACGGCGTGAATCGGTTGCACTCCAGAACGCAGACGCTGCATTTGGGAGGTCTCATCAAACTCAATGAGCAATCGCCCAACCCGCAAAGGGGCTCCTTCCACAGGTTGCACCTGCATAGATCCAGCAGTGCAGCTTGCTTGTTTAGGATCCTTTGAAGTGCCCCTTCAGCTAATAGCAACTAACAACTAACTAGACTCATAGGCTAATAGGTGTCTCCATATCAAAAATTCAGTATTCAGATTCTTTTCAATAGAGGAAGATGCTTGCAAACTTCTCACTTCCAATGTTGCATGCTACATGCTGCTGCATGTGACATGACATCTCATCTCCCAATGAAACCAACAAGTGTCCAAGCTGGTTTTCACACACCTTCATGGGTCACAGATATACAATAAGGCAAGGCACATTCTTTGTAAGCATGGCTTCAGCATACAGGCGCTGGCAGTACATGAAGAATCCCGCTACGGCATTCTGAACCTTGCTCCAGGATTGACATGACTGCACAATCTATTATATTATGTCCTTATCTAAATCATCCATCCAGGATCTAGAATCCGACTATGTTGTTCATTGCCACATTGTCAAAGTATGCAGGTGGTCCGCTCCTGATACAGATACAGATACACGCTACATTAATCACATTCAAGTAGAGTAGCTTGTCCGACAAAGGCAGGTGATCCTTGTAGCCAGTATGCAACTGATCTCAACGACATCGATGTAATGGATCTACTGGCAAGGTCATTGCTCTTCTTGATGGCACTGCATGCCGACCAGCCAAACCTGCCATAGAAGAGAACTACTGGCTAACGTGCCCCGAGTCTAACGATAGCCGCACAAAGTATATAAAGTCCAACATCTATTGTTGCCCGCAACAGTAAAATTGAATCCTAGCCTCATGAGTTGACTCATAAGAAAGGTGCTAGGTTCACATGCAAAGGCCACAGGGCCATAGTCCTAGTCTTAATCATTTTCATAGTGCGTTTAATTGACTGGGAACAAACGAAGAACGCTGAAAACAAAGAACTGAGAAAACCAGGGCGAATTTGTAACAAGGTACGCTGCCCGGAGTAAAGCACCCGGCAACCATTTCTTGTATTTTCCCTTGCCAGGAGTTGGCCCAATATCATTGTGCCGCACAGCATGCTCTTGCACGAAGGTCCCAGCAAGCCTCCTTGGGAAGTTTGCTTGACTTCCATGCAAACATTGATGCAAAACATGGCTAAGCAGCCGAGCACAACTTGAACTGTACTTCACTTTCCTTTGATACCCACACACGCCAGAAACACAAGGCTTATCCAGCCACAGTATAGCTGGGAACTGGTAACACTAACGACTAACACGGAATCACTTGTCAATTATTATCATGAATCATTTCATTGTCATTGCTTCCGCTTCCCAGTTCAGGTAAGTCACACTGCGGCTTCCAAAGTCTCGCTGCGGTCTTGAATTGCACTCATTGCAACCCCCAGATCACAAGGCCACAGCGCCCCATGAATTGAATGCACGACAATAAAGAATTTGAGTCTGCATTGTGGATTGCTGATGGTTCTTGGCATTGGGTAATGGCTCTCAGAACATTCCTCTTGAAGATCTGTTTTCGTCAGGTACATTGGTAGCGTGGACCCCCCCCAAAAAAGTTCTAGATCGTCTAGATAGTTGTCCCACACGATCTAGATCGATACAGCTTCAGCTGTTCATATATCATATTATATTATAAATGATTTAAATTATCATAATCTATAGTCTCCATGTCATATCTTCGTATTTCCACACTGCTTGTAAAAACATGCCAATGCCAACTGTTTTGTTTCCGAGCCATTTGTTGCCAAACATGTACCACGTACACCCTCGTACGTTCACACGCACGCTCACACGCCCACCCGCGCGTACGCCCGCACGCGCGCCCGCACGCTCCTACGCACGCTCGACCGCGCGCCCACACACTCTCACGCACACACGTCAATGCCCACGTTCAGTTCACCTCGCTCACCCCCTCCAAAAAATATCCAAAAAAGCTGTTTACGATGTCTTGATTTCTGATAATCTACAACTAACAAATTTGAAAGCGTCATCGATCGAACGGTTCTCTTTTCATATTGTTCAGAAATCTTGACTGCTTGTTCTTGTTTTTTGAGAAATGCGTCAGCTCTTTAGTCGAGTCAGGCATTGTTGATGCGCGACTGCTTGCGCAGTCTCGGTTCAGCAGCACCTCATGTCTTAGACATGCCGAAGGTGTTGTCCGAGGCGCAGATTACGAGGCTCAGCCATGGTGATTTTGGTGAGTGCGCTAAATGATTGGAAGGTGGATGTGTCAGACGGCATGCTGGTATCTGAGATGCGGGCGGCTTTGGCAAGGAAGATTCATGATTGCGCTTCAAAGAGCAGCTCTGCAGCCAAGAGTGCTTCTACTGCTGCAAGCAAGCCAGCTAACATGGTGTCTTCCAAGGCTTCATCTGGACCAGGCCTCATCATGTGGCACCAAATCGGGTCTCGTTCGGGTCTCGTCAGACGTCTCAAAGCTTGGCTTGTTGTGGGAAAGCTTTTGTTTCTTTCCTTTCTTGCAGGAAAGACAGAGGCTTTTTTCTACGCTCAAGAGAATGGCTCACAAACGCCATCCTCCTTTGCTCATCATTGGCTGAAACCTCAGCGCCTCCGCTGGCCAGATCATGCAAAAAGGTTACTCCTCTGGGCAGATTCTGGAGGAGGGAGCCTCTTGCGCTTGAATGTCTCCGTGGCAGTGCTGTGTGAGAGGTATGCATGTGACCTTTTCTTGAACCCAAGCTATGGAACCAAGGCGATGTGTGCGCTCGACACTTTTCCGCATGGGCAGATGGCTGCCAAGTGGAGCGCCTTCAAGCAAGAGTACTCGCGTCAGCATGGGGGTGACTTGGGAATTTTTCCCGCCATCTCTGCTTTGCGTCATATCGTTGAGGAGAGCCTTGCAAGCAAACCAGCAGCTGCTGGATGGTGCAGGGTGGGTATAGTTCCAGGTGAGCCAATCAACAGAAACAAAGTCCTTCACGACAGACTTACAGAATGCTTTCAGAGCAAGCGCTCTGGAGGAGGCCTGTCGGAAAGGCCTCAAACGCAGGCTGCAGGTGTTTTGGATCTAGTGCAGCGCATCTCTCCCAAGAAAGAAAGGTGTACCGGTGAGAACTGCAAGCGTGTCTTCAGCGTGGCAGACAAGTTTTGCCCTTCTTGCGGTACGCCGAATGCTCACTTTGATGGACAAGAGCTGGCCCTCACTGGCAGTGGCAAAAAGCCTGGGTGGGTGAAAAGCTCTTGAGATTGGTTTTTCTAGGGTTTTCCTTTTTGATACAGGATCGTTTTCTTTTTGGTGTTCCTAGTGCTGCCTGCAAAGCCTAGAACCGGGTGCTACATGAAAGCCTTAGCTTCCCTGCACCCAAGGTATGACCCCAGAGGTCAAGTATGAAACAGCTGGGGAGAGGAGAATCGCGGCTGCCACTGCAGATTGCTGCAGAACCCCCTCCGCTGCCACCGCCAGAGGAAGCTCCTCCAGCACCTTCCTCTTCGTCCGGCCAGCCACAAACAGCTGAAGAGGAAGCAGAAGACGAAACGTGCGACTTGGACACAAAGGAGGGCATCACTGGACTTCTGGAACACTTGTTCAAGCACGCTGAAATTAAAGTGAGCTTGAATGAGTTTGACCGTGCTGTCGCGCAGTTTTGCGCGCATTTGACTGAAACGAAGCCTGGCGGCATGCCTCTCAGCAGGCATTTTCGAAACGAGTCACTGGACAAGGGTGACCTCGCTTCAGGAACAGCCCGTAAAAAATGGCTGAAGTTTTGGGTCAGTGCCGTTAAGACTCGGTTTGTGAAGGTCTCCGATCTCAAGTGATCAGAGAAGGCAACGCAGGTGCCGCAGAATGGCTGGTGCCGCAGGACACACATGACGCAGCGCGAAACATATGCGAGAAATAGTCGAGCGGTCGCGACTGAAGAAGTGGGGAAGTATATTTCGTTGGTGTTGCGATTACATGGTGGCAATCTTGTTTTCGAAGCTTTCAAATGCCATGGCTGTATGCCATTTCCATTGTGCTGGGATATATGTTCAAAAACCATTACTTCTAGATGCCCCTGGGAATCGCGATTCCAAGCGGAGAGACCAGAATGTGATGACTTTGCATGCGGGGAAGACAAAGATGGGACACCATGGGGTGACTTTAGCGGTTGCCTGTACGCGGAGAATCTGGGGAGCTGGAAGATGAGAACTGGCGACTTTGTAGTACAACTT